TTTTTGTGGTTAAAAAAAAATACATATGGTTCAGAACGGATTAACCTTATTTACATTGAACCTTATGGGGAAATTTGATTTGGTTCGCGACCAATTTGGTTCGTGGCCAGAACTGTGGAACGAATTAAGTTCGTGAACTGAGGTACCACTGTATTACCATATAACTTCCATATGTTAAAGTCCCTTGTTTAGTCATATGTAGTTTCCTTTTTTATCCCTTCCTCTTGCCTCTCTTTTGTGGTTCTTTATATACCTTCCTTAATGTCTAATAAAAATATGCAAAAAAAGGAAAAACATATATGCCCATGACAGATTGCTTCTGATTGAATTCTAAGAAAAGAATATTCTAAAGCAATCTCACCAGTGTAGCCATGCCCACTAAAATGCCGGGGTATAGACACTTGGGAGACCTACTGTGAATATGGATCTCCTTTAAGTCAAGCTTGAGTCCTAGTGTTCCCATAAACACTGCCACTGGTTGTTTTTGTGGCAGAACCAGAATAGTGGCCAATTGGCTTCTTCCACATGTTTTTTTAACTTCCCAGTCTAGCTTACCACCACTCTGGAATTCTCTGGTGGTCTCCCATTAAGAATAACCCTTGCTTAGCTTCTGAGCCCAGGCAAGGCTAGACAGGTGCTGTGAGCTGCTGAGACAGGAAGCACACGAAGAACTAAACAAGAGAAGTTAATAAAGGTCTTAAGATCCCACTCAACTTTCCTATCCACTTAAAGTCTTGATTTCAAATCCTAATTAGAATAGAAAAATTATAGGCAGTGTACTTTAACATCATGTTTAGAACCAGGGAGCCATTCACATTCTAACCAGCTGGACATTCCTCCATTATCACTTAAGAGAAGAGCTCCCTCACCAATTTACCTAGCAACCATGAATAAGAGATGGAGAAAGTCTTCACCTTAGAACCTGGGAAATATATTTAATTCAGTCCAGTTGCTGAAATCTCTGTAACCTTATCTTAGACTATTTCGATGAATCTTGCTAAAGAAACTCTGGAAGAATCCTGCTTTCTGCAGAGGTGGAACAGCCAAGAACCTGACATTAATCTTAGTACCTGGATTATTTTCTCTCTTTAGAATTCAATGTATCTCCCAGATTCCTCATCCTGAATCAAGATTTAACTCTCTAGTTAATCAATTAAACTTACTATCTTAATGAATGCATAATCTTTCACTCTATTTATCACACCACAACCAATACCATTTCCTAGAGTAAAAATAGAATACAGGAGACATGTTCTTTGTTTGGGAGCTGTTACTGTTTTGGTCTGTGCTATCCATAGAATCAGAGGACACAGAAGTTCCAACGAGGAGAAAGATGGTGGCTTGAAAGCTATTTACAAAATGAAGCAAGTTCTATAGCATTTGCCATAGTTTTGAAGCCATACTGATTCCACGTTTATATGCACATTCTGACAGAACAGCATTCTGTCAACTTTAAAGCAGCTATATTGTGAATAATAACAGCCTTCTATTGGACTGAACTGAACAGTCAGGAACCTGTGGTTCCTAAGTGAAATCTAGGTTCATGAGGACTGCTGTCTGGTTTCTTACCAGTTACCAAGGTTTCTTATTTAAATTACACTGGTGGTTACAGGAGTTTCTGCAGTGAATCTTTTTATACTGGTTGAGTAATCCGAAGACGTCCCACATCCCATGGGAGGTCCAGAACAACAATCTTATTACTTAATCCATTACATAATAAGTACTATGATATAAAACTATGCATACCATATTTCCAAATATGGAAAACTTTATTCAGTCCCCCAAACTCTAGAGTCCAGTATCCAATCATTTGGGAATGAACTGTGCGAAGGTGAATGTTTTTACTGGTCAGCTCCAGAAAATCTTTCATCTTGTTTGGCTTAATTGTGTAAGTACGAAACTCATAGAATGTGCCATCAGCTTGTTGGGGCCCTGTGCCAAAAGATGAAGCCTGAAAACAACAAACAAACAAATAAGAATGAATGAAAATGACCCACAATATCATTTTCTTTAAAATTTGATGTTCATTTGAAAAGTAAGAAAAAGACTATCACAGTCTTCTACAATCTGGTGCCACAAGATATAGAATCTAAAGTAAACACATCTTGAGGCAACAGATAGGGGAAAGCTGGATTAGTATGTTAACAGTAGTAGCCAGAATTCCAAACTCAAGGCACATTTATACAAAAAAAATAGTTAAACTATGAAAGTCACTGTCATCAGATGTGGCAATGGACACAGACTGGTTTAAAATAGTTTAAAAGAGAACTAACATTCACAGGGTTTAGTACCATCAATGGACAGTATTTGGTTATGTGATGAATGCAAGCAGGATACTTGAAGTAACAGAAGCTGGGAAGAGTTAGTGGAAGAACGTTTCTGTACTACCATTCATTCTTGTGAGAATCTGAATGGCCACTGTGTAACCCAAATTGCTGGGTTAGATGGGCCTATGGTGTTCTTTATTATTATGTTCTTAGAACATCTTACTCCCTGGTTACCAATGTCAGCCTCAGTTTTTGATCCCTCTATAAATATGCTAAAGTTCTTAACTTCAGCCTTTGTACAAATCTACTCTGGTCTTATATATCTCACTGGATTCAATCACTGCATTAAGCCAAAATGAGATATGTTCCATTTTGGGTCACTGAAATGGATGAAGAAAGCCACTGTAGTTGATCAACCATGGCTTAGCACAGTGTACAAACCCTGCCAATGAATTCAGCAAGCCATGCTTCCATAGGAGTCTGTACAAGACTGGAGTTTTAGAACTGCACTTTGGTCCCTACTAATCTTACAGGTATCAGTGCTACACAAACACCAGAGAGGCCATTGCACTGATATAGCTAAACTGGATTTATTTTGCAATTAAATAAAATGTACAAGGCAATAAGGTCATCTTTACTCTCTAAACATTTCTCTCTTCTCTGCCCCAGCTGGCAGTATTGCGCTAGCAATCACACAATGCAAAGCACTGATTGCTACCAACTGACCCAACTAAAGAAAGAGAAAGCAAAAAGTGAGAATGATATGATGATGATGATGATGATGATAATATTAATTTCAGTCAGTTACTAGATAAAACAAAATGCATACAGAAGTGGGAGTGAGATTATTCAGCACCTCTGCATTGCTTTTGAATCTCAGGTATGTAAACGGTGCCCTTTAAGAGGTGAAAACATTTTTATCACATTCTTCTCCACTGCCTTTATTGCTGTATTTTGCCCTCCTAAAAGCTGCTGGCTACTACATATTACAGGAGGGATACAGAGCCTTCCCTAAGCTCAGAGCAAAAGGAGCAATCGGAGGGGTACTGAATCTGGATTGCACCGTATCAGATGACCACTGGATGGCAGAAAAGAGTTAAACTTGTATATGTCTCTTGCTTCCATCTAGTGGTCATCTTGATTTTGCAGCCCAGATTGAGCAGCTCTCCTATTAAAACAAGTTTTCAACTGTCTTGAATTATTCCTTTCATGGTTTCCTCACAGCCACAATGCAATATTCAACATTTCACTTTGCAAACAAAACTTCTTGACACAACTGTTTTTTAATTCACCCAGCCAAATGCCCCAGTCTTTAAAAATCAGTTTTAGAACAATGCAACAATCTTTAATTTTCCCCCAATCAAGTTGAGGAAAGCCAAGAGACATAACAATGATTATAGAGCTGAACTGGTTAGAAGACTGCAAACAGAAAAATCAGTTTGAATCTGCGTACATACACCTGCAAAAATTACTGGATCACCTTTGACCTTTCTGTTAGTTATGTTAACAGGATGATTTGAAGATAAAGACATGAAATGGCAGTTATAATGTAATTAATGACACATCCATGAGTTCACCGAGGAACAGAATAAAATCTCGAATACGGCTGCAGAAGCAGGAGGGAAAAATGCTTATGGAGTATTTTATTTTATTTAATCAGCTTAGGAATTTGTATGCATACATTCACAGCTAGATCAGCCCTACCACGGTTCTTCAATAGGGACATCGCCTAACACGTATTGCTACTCATCCCTTTACAAGTAAGGATTCTTTGGACATCAATGTGGGCAAATGTTAAAGAACATTAAGACTCCATCTTCAGTAGTTTTTATAGAAGAGTGGATTTAGCAAGTGCAGCTGGCTTGCACAGGTAGAGGATTCCCGCCCGCCCATCTGCATCTGGGCTACTCTAGACACAGGGAAGGAGTCTCTATGGTTGCCCCATCACTTTCTTTGTTTAAAAGTGCTTTCCTAATCATCAGCCCTACATGGGAGATGAATGAATAAAAAGGAAGACGGTAGAATGGACAACATCCGTGGACAGGCAACAAAGGAGAACAGGAGGGATGCATTTTTTACTCCTAATTTAGAGTTTGTGGAAAGGGACTCTTTCTCCAGTGGTGTGTTGGTTCCTTTACTAGCACTTTGTTCAAAACCCTAGAAAAGGCAAGCCAAGACAGAGAAGACTTGATCTGCTCTGAAGCCAGGCTTCAAAGACTTTTTCCAACTCAACTTCAAATCCAGACCTGCGCAGGGGATCAAGTCCCCCTGAATCCTATGGAGATTTCCTGCCACCAGACTCTTCCCTCCTAGTTCCTCGGCTCTTTCTCTTCTTCTCACCGCTCCTTCTCTCTGTCGTTAACAGCTCAGTGAGTGGCAGGGATTAGACAACAGCAACAGCAGCAGCAGCAGCGGCGGCCGCCGCCGCCGCCATGTTAAGCATCCCTGGAAGGGACAGCACCACCTGTTGGACGTCTGCCTGACAAGCAGTTCTACACGGCACTCAGGAACTAGAAGAGGACGGCCCTCGTCCCCTGCCTCTGCCCTCCACCCCAGCGCCTTCCTTGGCTCCCCCTGCTTCACAAGCAGGGGGATCCCGCTTGCCGCCTCCGCGCGCCAGCCAATTTTACCTGGGCACCGACCGCTCGCGCCGCTGCCGCGACTCCTCGGAGAACAGCGCGGGGGGCCTGCATGCTCCAGTCGCCCGGGCGCCACCAAGGGAGCAGCGCGGTCGCAGCGACAGCCAAGGCAAGTAGCCCCGCTGAGGGCGAGGAACGGCACTTCCTCCTGCGGCCTGGCCCGCCCGCCGCCGCTCCGCCAAGGCGAAGCATTGGCCGGCGCGAACCTCGTGGCCGCCTCCCTCGCCAAGCGCAGGGAAGCCGCGCGGCCCCTTCGCAACCCTCTTCCCGCTGGGGCGCGCGGCGTCCCACTTCTGCGTTTGGGGTATGGTTGGCGTGCAATGCCCAGCATCCTTGAGCCTTGGCCAGGGGTGCTGCAGCCGATAGACTGCAGCGCAGCCACTCTTGGGGTCCCTGAACTGACTAGCTGCATTGCCTCCCCGCGACAACGCTTGGGCGTGTTGGAGGAAGGCTTGTTTTGCAAATTAAATCAAATATTACGCGCGCGCGGGGCGGAGTTCTTCGTGGGATTTTTCTCTCCTCAGTTCCATTATTATTAGTTCCAGAATTATTTACTCATTATACTGTGTAGGTCCTCGACTAAAACTTTTCCCTGGAGCTTCCGTGAGACTCCTTTCGCAAATAAGAGTGGCATAAATGCCTACTTAACCTGGTTTTGTGAACACGCTACTGTATTGTCTGTTCTTCTCTGCTACTGAACTGAAAACGGATTTTACTATTGCATGGGGGTCAAGCCATGCACGTATGGCTGAGAAGTTATAAAGAAGGTAAAGTCATGAAAGGGTGAAGCCACATTTAGGCATTTTTTGGTTATTTCTGCCCATGTTCCAGTGCATGCTGTTATGTATGCAGCAGCACATAACAAATCAACCTGTGTTTACACATCCAGGCTGCCAAAATGAAACAAATGGCATTATGGAATGACATGCTTTGTTTTGGTATGGCAGCGTTCTCATGCTGGATGTCCTTCAGATGAGTTGGACTTCAAATCTGCTGATTAGGAATTATCCAACTCATCTGAACAGAGCTGGGAGTACATCAGATGCACACGTACAAGTGATGGTTCTCACATGTCTTTGGTTTTAACTTTTATGTTGTCAGACTTAGTAATTGCAGAATCAAAGGCTGACTGAATTAAAACATCAAGAGGAAGGTGAATGGAAAAGTGGCTTCAGTTGTCCTTTCTCAAGTTTATGGAGTGTTATTTCTAATGTCTAAAGCAAGTGTGTACTCTAGAGGCTGACATATCAAGTCAGACAAAAGTCCCACCCATGTTTATTCTCACAAAAATACACATAGTAATAAAGAACACCAGAAGAATCAACTCAAGTTCACAGAAATTAATAACTATTAATATTATTTATTAATTTATTAAAATAAATAAATAAATATAGTAATAAAGAAACCACAGAAGAATTAGAATTACTTCTGGGATGTATGAAACTTTCAAAAATGGATGTAAAGTATTTTATGTAATCTCTGAAAATATACAGTACTTCAAATTTCTGCAAATATTTTAATGATTTTTTTTTTTAGATATAAGAACATAATACACCTTAGATTTTAAAGATGGGATATGGATCCTGCAATCTGCAGCTTAATTTCAAGAAGCCTGCAGAGATACATAGCACAAACAAAATTAATGTCACTGCCAAGGGGCAAGAGAGGAAATGACAGAATTGCATACACACAATTCAGAAAAACTATTTAATTTTGCATTTAACAATCTCAATCATCATAATGCAATAATGAATACCATATAAAGTTCAGATCCAGCAACAAATATCAATAAATAAATTTCAGCTTCATTCTCTACAACCTATACATTAATAATGAGAATTCCCTGATTAAATAATATATTGTGACGTCAACTTTTTAGTACTCATTTTACAAGTCTGAGCAGTTTTAGGTTATAATGTTTTATCATTTGTTTGTTTTTAGTTGTATTTGTAAATTAAGACATTTAAAAATATATGAGGGTAACACCAGAATGCAATTATTAATTCAAACCTATCACATTTTTTCATTCTCAGCTCTAAATATTTAAATATTGATATTCTGTACTGTCATTATTTACTCATGCAGTTTGAATCTATTTTTATGCAGATGATTAGAAGAGCATTTATTTGAGATGTATAACTTGAGTTTCCACAAATAATGACTATTATTCAAAGCTACTCAATCTGCATCTACAGATAAAAACTGCAAATAAGGATTGGAGCGCAGAAAATAAAATTTTTATGTGCTGTCCTTCAACTGGAATAAAATTACTTCAAAGGTGAAAACAATGTAGGAATCAGAAGCAGGTTTTGCTGGGTTTCCAAGTACTGAACATTCTCCCGAACTGAAAATAAGAATTAAAATATGCTCACTCAAACTTAAGTTTAAAAAAAGCACTGATAGATATTCCAAGATACAAACACAGCAATTTCTTACCAGCTGCTACAACTCTGGCATCTTCATGGGCCATATGCCTTCCAGCTGCCCGGATATCTGGATTCTCAAACCACCAAAGCACATGAACTGTGAGAGTAAAAGCAAAAACACAGTATCACAAGGTGTGCATACAAATCTACAGGACAAATTATGACATGCAAATTCCAATGAGCACAAACAATTCTCTGTCTCTAAGAGTTCTCTGTACAATTCTGTAGAAGGGCCCAGCTAGTCATAGAAGTAAATAAGCAGAGCTAAGTATATCAGATTTGATACAGAGGCACAGTACTGCTCCAGAGTTAAAAAAAACTGTAGCCCAGTTCTGCATACTAAAATTTCAGGTATAGTCCTGGCATTTCCAGGAAAAGGTAGGCAAAGTTTTCCAAAACTTCAGAGGGCCATTGCAAATTAGAGTAGATGTGAAATAGATGGATCAACAGTTTGACTCATTGTAAGGCAGCTTTTTATACTCCTAAAGATTTTCTCCAAATTTTTTTTAGACTGTTTTCAGAATGCTAGGAGTGGGGGTCCTGCTTTCAACAGTAAAATGATACAACCGATGCACTGCCATTTGCTGTGAACAGAATTTGTTTGAAGGGTAGAATGAACAAGTTAATAAATTTCAAAGGGTTTAACTTTAAGTATGACTAAATCTGGACCCACTGATCCTTTTCTTCTTGTCCCTATGCTACAGTGAACAGCTACCAATTGAGCACATGCGGAATTATGGATCATAGCAATGTGAAAACAATATATTGGGGAATGATTCGATATTTGAAATATGAAAAGTTTGAGCCTGTACCTGTATTAAGAAATCCATATTCTGTGTGGAAAATGCCAATCAGTTTTGCATAGCCTTTACTAACATGTGCATCAATAACTGCTTTGAATGACTTTCCCCATAAAGCTGGCCCACCTGGTTTCAACTGATAAGTCACCAACTCATAAACTCCTAGGAAGAAGAATCATCATCAGCTTACTATAGATAGCGAGAGAAAAGCAAGCAACTCACTGCTTAGAGTATATTATTCCTATATCTTCACCAATGATCTAAATTCAATTTCATTTTACTTTTTGATTTAAATCCACACATGCTTGGAGTTTGAATTTATTTTCCGTTCATAATTCTGAATTACATTTGTGTAGTTATACCCATCAGTCCACAGATCCGATGCCTGTCTCAAAGGGAAGAGATTTAAATATAATTTTGACCACTTTTTTAAAAAAAAATATTTTATCAATGTATAAAATAATTTTAAGAGAAATGAATATAGTAATTTCTCATATACACACACACACAGACACAAATATAAATAAGAGTTGGAAAATATGATAGCTTTTAAAATGAGATTAAAAGGATGAATATTTTGAAGTATTGTTTTGGTTTCAGTCCACAGCTCTAAGCAGAAGAAAGTAGTAAAAATATGACAATTCCCAACCTCATTTCCCCCACTACCCTATAGTTCTTTGGCGTTGATGTTGGTGTGTGTAGGCTGCTTGGAAGCAAGGAAAAAAACAACTGAAAAAGGGAGCTGAATTATTACCCCAATAAGGAACTAATAAATCTTGCTAATCAGCTGCACTCCATAATTTTAGCAAAAGTTGTGGTGATCCCAAACCCAGCAGTACTACTGTCTTCCCTACACCATCTCTTCAAACAGTTTCTGAGTTTCCATGGGATTCCACTCATTGGATATGAAATCAGTACAACAGGTTAAGGAGCAAGAGAACTGACCCTCTTTTGGTGGGATCCCCAAATCACACCAAGGGACCAAGTAAGCAATTTCCATATGCTGTTTATTCAGAAGTGGAAGAATTGTAGCCAATTTTTCCTGCCATTCTTTATCATTGATTACAGCCTTCCTTACAGCTGCTCTGTGCGCAAAATTATCTGTGGGAAAAAAAAAAAAGATTGAAATTCTACAGCCATGTTGTACTTGCTTCCATGATAAAAGTACAAAGCTACACAGAAATAAACTTAATATCTGATAAGAAGTTTTAACTTAATATTAACATTACAGAACAGAACCCTCTCTCAAACACAGCCTTGGAAAATACAAGGCGATATGGTCCCTCTGTCCTGTCCCATCTTCTCTTCAAGAGCCTCACATGCTATTTTGCTGGGCCATGTACTGTAGCATAATCCCAACACTTATAAAGTTGTGAATTAAACTCAAAATGATTTCAGCAATAGCTGTTGAAAGAGGAGGACTGGGGCCTGCTATCAGAGTTATAGATTGTGGGCCCTGATGCCTCAAAATTCTCCGGGCAAGAATGGACATATCCATTATCAACTCTTCTGATTGGCAGTCAATTTGATGTGCACTGGCAAGCAGAAGGATGAATATGCTGGCCTTTTTCCATTGCCTAGTTAACAAAGCAGTGCTTCTAAACTGGCTTCATTAGCCACATAGGTCCTGGATTTTTTGGATTGTTGTTGTTCAGTCGTTGTGTCTGACTCTTCATGACCCCATGAACCATATCGCGCCAGAATGGTACACTCATACAACTTGGTAATAAACTTCATAGTAATAACTTAAAAGGCACATTCAACCTCTTTGAAACACTACCATGCAATTCGTACCATATTTCCAAATATGAAACGCCTTATTCATTGCCCCAAATTCAGCTGTCCAGAATCCAATCATCTCTGAGTGAACCATACGAATCTTAATATATTTATTGACCAATTCAAGGAATTCCTTTATCTTTGCTGGCTTAATGTCATAAGTGCGAAGTTCATAGAAAGTGCCAACTTCCTGTCTGGGTCCGGTAGCAAAAGATGAACAAGCCTGAAGCACATTTGGCTTTAAAGAGACAAAAGCATGAAAAATTTAGGGGAAAATGATAGTTTCTAGGTTTGTAGTCATAGAATATATGATTTGATCAGTGAGATACTAGAACATGAGAATTTCAGTAAATAAAATGCTAAAGCTTCATTCATAGTTAAGCTTTGTATTTTAATAATAATTCATTGGGACCAAATACAGTATCTGTACTTTAGCTTTTACACAGATTTATGACATTCATCTTGAAGAGTTGTGGAAAAATCCAAGGTAGGGAGAGGGGAACCAAGAAAAAACTGAGAAAGAGTTCATTCAGATAATGAACAGTCTCTGCCTAGCTTTCCCAAAAAATATTATAAAGGAGGAGGTATTATGATACATGAAAAAATGTTCTGGAAGTTCCCAAAGGGGGTTTCTGTAATTAAGAGTTTGGTTAAGCAGCTCCTTCCTAAACTTGAAGTGCAGATGGCATTACGAGAGAACATTTTCAGTAGTACACAAGTGCTCATAAAAAGATACGGGATAGATGATGATGTCTAAGGAAACTTTGACCTACCACTATGAATTACAATAAGTACCTTCAACTGTTCCCAGAGAAGAAGACATTGTTAGGTCCAGACTTCCTTGCATAAGTGTCATATCCACAAAGGATGCACACACTTTCAAAATGAGACAGTACTTCAGACCTTGTACAAGCACATCTCTCATTAAACATCTTCAAAGCAACTTTTAAAGCAGTTGCATTTTTCTTTTTTTCAAGCTCACAGAGTGGCTTGAAAAAAAAAAGGGCCCTTTGACAAAGGGCAGAGAGGTGATGCTATTGTCCAAGGTGTGTAGCACTCCTTCCAGATAATTTTTCAAGCCCTAAAATTCATACAGAAAATGGCAGGCACACATCAGTAAGCTCAGAATCAGAAACAATATCATGCAGAGGGTTTGTATTTGCCAGGTCCTACATGGAAGTGACATTCATGCTTCCAGAAAACATCATGCATAAAGTGGCTCTAATGTAACTTACAACTGTAAATGTTCATCTAGAAGAAAATTCTATTGAATTTATGAAGATGTACCTATTAAATGGGGTGAAGTAATTTTTACTTTTAGTAAAAGCAAATCCTTTTATCAATCAGATTCTGGATCAAACTGAGCCATGGTGACAAAGTGTTACCCACAAAAACATTACACTGAATTGGTTCACATGATTAGTTCATACATAGTTTATTGAATAAACCAGTCACCTGGGCTCACACACTGTGTTGCCACCCAGTGGCCAGCCAGGAGCTAATAAATTCTTTAGGATTCAGAGACAATAGGCTCAAACCAGGATGAAATGCTGAAAATGATTTGATTGAATAAGTATTATTACAAAGAAAAACATATGCCAATCCACCTCTCTTCACTTGCCAGAAACCCCAGAAACGTCAGCAGAGGGACCCAGTGGGTCCAGTAGTTGCACAGTACTCTCCTAGGTCTTTGGGTCTATGCTGAGGTTCAAACTGTCTGGGGACTTTTGCTACCTTTTTATACTAGGAAGGGACAGTGAGCATAAACATTAGCACCTGGAGAAGACTTGGTAGCAGTGATTTGCTTCCAAATCAGTTGACCCCTGGCCAGAGATATTTTTAAGATAGGGTCCCTAGTAAATAACACCTGGCAATGGTCTGATGACATATCTTGTCAATAGCTTGGGAATCCATATCATTACCAGTCTGCTAATATTTTTATGGGAAACATTGTTTCTAGTCTGCAACTGTTGCTCCCCATCTGGAAGCAGGGGGTCAGATTAGAGAACCCATGTTGTCCTCTTTCTCTGAATTGCTACAAGGAGGAATACTGTACATATCAAAGGCTCAAGAGTGATTTACAAAACAATGATGCAATCCACAGAGCTTGCTAACTAACCTTTTTCTGAGCATGCATGCAAAGAAATTTACAACACAAATATACTGGTGTGGGCCTTCATCGCCAGTATCTGTTGGGCAATGCTGAGCTTCAGGGTATAGTGACCGTGGTCAAGACAACAGATTTCCTGACCTTTCACGAGCAACTGTGGCTGGCAACTTCTAAAGAAACCTGTTGTCTAGACCACAGTCACTATACCCTGAAACTCAACAATGCCTTACAACACAAAGTTTGCTAAGTAACACATTTTGCTTCACCTAACTAAGCAACTGAGTAATTACTCAGGTATATATGTGCAAAGAGTTAAAGTGATCCACACCATTATTTCCTTGTCAATCTTCCATGATGCCATTACATATATTATCCATAAACTATGGTTTATAAACTGTAATAGCTGGGTATATACAACATGATAACCCCAAATCAAACAAACAATATTATAGTTTAACATTTTGTGGACTTAGACAATTACCGATACCTAAATTTCATGCATTTCACACACCCTATAAATAGAAATTCTTTCTATATCAATTTACCTGAGAATCTGCAACTGCTTGATTTCATTTTGCAAAATATATACGCACCCAATATTCTTTGGACTGGAGTGGCACAGAAGCCTGAGTAAATAATAATTATATTCTCGCTGTACACTGCCAAGAATATTGAGATCTGTGGCACTGTCTTTCAGGAATGTTTCTCCTTCTTTACTAATTTTTCAGCAGAAAAAGCACTGATAATTTGCCAAGGAAGCACAAGATTTCTAACAGTTTGGAAACTACTGTGCTAATCAATAACTAGAAGCACAGCAAAAGGTATGCATGTCAGCAGTCCAATGTAAAATATCGTAACTTGTTTCACTTAGGGACAGTGCATTTTTCATAGCATCGCGCACCACTGCTCATCTCTGGTGTTAGTTCACAACATGCTTCCCAAGCCGTAAACTTCAAGCACCAGACAGAAGCGCTGCATTTTTCCTAGGTAGCATTTCTTCAGAGATGCCTAGAAATTAATACACACATATATTTGAAATATCAGTTCAATCAAAAATCTTCCCATCTTCTCCCACATCCCTTTCATACACTGAAAGTCAAAACGCACAACTAATGTTGTAGAGATTTGTTTTATTTTGATCCAGCATCTGGATTTTTAAAAAACATTCTTGAACAGTTGCACAACTCAGCTTTAATTTCAGTCACATCCATAATAAAAATGTTATCTGTGAGGAAGAACCACTAGAGATTAATAGCAAATTACAAAGTAAACAAATACTTATAGTCCTAAGCAAAATCTAGTCATTGGCGTTAGGGTCTCCTGCAGCAGCAGCTCTGAACCTCATGAATGAACAGGATACCACTGGAGCTCCCTACACATACAGCATATAAAAGGAAATTAGTTTTTCAACATAGCATAAGCAGAAAACATACTGGCACACTATTGAAAAATGCATCTGCTATACAAAGTTCCTGCAGTGACCAATAAGCCATAACTCCTATTGTACAGAGCCCCCAGCACTACTAACAAGCAATGATATTTAACTTTGAAATTATCTAGGACTGGTAAAATCATCTGAAGAGAAGAAAATGTTAGAAATATACTACTGTATTACTACTTGCCCATTGTGGCAGATAGAAAAGTTATTTTCTTTTATGTATTTTCTTTTAATTTTCTTTATGTATTGTCTTTTAATTTTATGTATTATATGTATTTTACTTACATAAATCATCAACTGAAACTTTTTTATAGCATGGAGAGAAACAGTATCATATGCCACTGTCTGGGGAAAAATGGATTCACTAAAAAAGGGCCATCCAGTGAGGAAGTAAAAATGGGATCAGATTCATACTGATAATTAACCTCTTCCACAGCTTTCATATTTTGTTTCTCTCTCTTATCTGCCCCTGTCCCTTTAACATCCACCTACAGAGCACAAGGTTACTTATCTTGTAAAAGTAATGATGGGAAAAACACACCTGTTTGATTTATTACGCAGCTCTTAAAGGCAGGGAACCCTTCAGAAAAACACATCCAACCTGCTACTATTCCCTTTATTCACTGTCAGTTTCTGTTTATACGTTCTTAAGAGTTCATTTCCCAGTTATGTCTCAATCAGCAAGCAGTTTCCCCCGCCCCCCCCCACTGTCTCTGTCAAGTTCAGCCCCATTCCTGATGATTCCATGGACATGCCCATCTGTTTTCTTAGCAACAATACAGAAGTGTTATTTGGCTTTCTTCATAGTGCCAAACTCACACTGTTGTTTTAAAAACTTTATTTGAGCTGTGATACTTTCATCATGCTGTGGGCATTGATAAATACTCTGAAAATAATGAATATTCTGAAAATACTTGATGAACTGAATAGTTCTAACTTGGGACAAATGAAATGCAGGGGTATTTGAGCTTCAGAACTGGAAGCACATTGTTAAACTAAAATCTCCTTTCAACTCAGCTTGACTTCTAGAGTCATCCTGGAAGCAAATAGGCAGGTAGGTAGGTAGGTAGACAAAGGAAGGAAGGGAAGAGATATAGATAGAGAGGAAGGAAGAAGATAGATAGATGAAGGACAGGAGAGGAAGGAAGGAATGGGGGGGTATACTATACAAAATACTATACTATACATTTAATGGAGGAAGGGAGGGAGGGAGTAGATAGAGAAAGGAAGGAAGGGAATAGATATAGATATAGATATAGATAGAGAGGAAGGAAGGTGATAGATGAAGGACAGGAGAGGAGGAGAGGAAGGAAGGAATGGAGGGGTATACTACACTATACATTTAATTCATTTATCAAATTTGTCACCGCCCATCTCGTGAACAACTCTGGGCGGTTGACAACGACGATAAAATTCATTAAAATACAATGTAAAAACAATCCTAATAATAAATATTACGATACCATGGAAGCTGCTTGCTACCGCCTTCTCCCAGGCCCTGAGGTCATGCAAGGTCACCCCAGGTCCGCTAGGTGCTGCCACTTGCTGGGCAATCTCTTGCGGGCCAGAAGCTTCACATTTGGGAGGAAGCCGAGGCCGGCAGCGGTGGGGGCAATGGCCACCGCCCCCGCTCCCCCCCAGGCAAAACCGAACACAAGAGGGGCAGGTTTCCCTCTCCTCGCAGGGGCTCTTAACTGGAATCCCAACAAACCCCAGCCTGTTTCAGAGGGTCTTGCGTGCGGGCATCTTGCGGCACCTTGGCAACAGAGCGCGCCCCCGCCCGCAGACCTGTCGCGTGGCTTGGGTTGCAGAGCACGCGCCTAACGATTCGCGGGCGAGGGGGGGAGGGAAAGCCCCTCAGGTCGGCTCCGCCAGGGGGTTTACCTGGGCGCGGAAAGCGTCCGCCGCCGCAGCTCTCCTGAGGAGGCGCCCAAGAACGGAGCCCACGCGGGTACCCAACATGGCAGGAAAGTCCGTAAGCGCTCAGAGCCCACGTTGAAGAACGAAAGGACGCCAAGCTCTCTTTCCCCCACCTCCTCCACGCCTCTTTCCCTACCGAAGCCCCAGAGGGCCAAAAAGCAAGCCTTGGCGTTAGGGCAGAACGCGGGCAGGTGCGGGGAGAGCGCGTGCGCTCTCTCTTTTTACACACGCTGCTGTATGCTTGCCTGCTTAGAGGAAGGAGCTCTTCTAAAATGCAGAGGCGCCCCTTTCTGGTTTTCCCGGCGCTGTCAAAAATATGGGTCCCGTCCAGTGTTGCTCCTTGAACGCGGCCGTTTTCTTTAATGGCCCAGTTTTTCGGGGGATGGCGTTTAGAGCCCCGGGCTGGGTCCGCAGCGTGCCTTGGGCAGCCGAGTTTCGGACGAGTGTATTGTACCCATCCACTCTATGATGGGTTAATGCAGTATTTCTCAACTTTGGCAACTCTAAGGTGTGTGGACTTCAACTCCCAGAATTCCCCAGCCAGCATGCTGGCTGGGG